CCAGGACCTGGGCAGTGGTAATCACATCGGCAGAGGTGTTCCACCCCTCGTTGAACGGAAGACGCTCCTCCTCAAAGACGACCTTCAACCACTCGACCGGCGCAGCAGGCGCGGTGTAGCTCTGTCCAATGGTGCCGAGGATAACGGCCGACTCGCCCAGAGAGACGGTGACCTGGCTGGTCGTCAAGTTGAAGGACGGGTTCGTCGCCTTTGCGGTGGCGATGCGCTTGCTGCGCGCGGAAGCCATGGTCGCGACGCCGACCTTGTTGTCGGAGGCGGCGGCACCGGACTCGAGGTAGCCCTTGGTCTCGGCCCAGACCGTCGTGTTGAAGGTCTTCGCGTCGCCCGTCACAGCGAAGTCGGCGCGGGAGAGACTGCCGTCGTGCTCGATGACGTTGTGCTTGGCGATGTCGTCCAGGTTGAAGGTGCTCGCGTTGCCGGTGGTGGAGGTGGCAAAGGCGGGCGTGCCGAGGGTGCGGACGAGAGACTCGTTGAAGTGCAGGGCGGAGCCGAGGCCGGCGATGAGGTCCTGCATGGAGATGGACTTGCCGTCGCGGGCGAGGTAGCCGTGGTTGGCGAGGGAGTTGAGCATCGGGCAGGGACCGCGGACGGCGCCGCCGGCAACGTCGGGGGCGAGCCAGGGGTGGGCTGCGGGAGCGGCGTCGCGGGGGACGGCGGCACCGGTGACGGACATGGCGCAGGTTGCGGCGAGGACTGCTGAGGCGCGCATCTTGTATGAGTCTTTTGAGAGGGTATGGGGTTCTTGAGAAACAAAGAGCGTTGGGAAGTTTTGGGATTTCTCGAGCTTCTGGAAAGACAGTGACGGCCCTTACAAGTGTGCCTTTGGTGTTGTGTAAAACGAAGGTGGTCCGGTGAGAGGATGAGCGAGGATACTGCAGGAAGGAGACAAGATCACGAGGAGAGACCGTCGACGAAAGCTGCTTTATACAGTTGTTCAAAACCTGGGGGGCTACGATTAAGGAGGGGCCTATAAACAGATACACGACGCATAGGGCTGGGCCATCCGAGTTAAGACTCGGGGATTCTCCTTTAAGTTGTCAACCCCGGGCGGCGGCGCCGTCGACGCGGCGAATCCGATAAAGTCCACGCCTTCCACGGTACTCAACGAATTGTGCCCAGGCACCTTTCTTGCTTTCCTTCTCTTCTAGAAGCAGCGGAATGATAGCCGTGCCTCGGCAGTAAGGTCAAACCCTGACCAGTAGCCGCCGCAGTGACGGAGCAACTATGATCTATCATTATAAAATGGGCTGCTTATACGTTCATCCCTTGTTCGGTGAGCCCACTGGGGAGTCTTATTGGAAGTTATACTCCGTTATACCGCGCTTTGCTTACCTTTTCATGACGTGTTATTGGACGGGGAGTTGAGTGAGCCGAGGTGAGCCCCTTTTAAACATTCTAATTGAGTTTGAAAAAGAATGGAAACCCGGGTGAAAAATACGACTTTGACGTGCTTGGCGGGGACGTTTGTGGGCGGCCTTGGGTGGCCGTGTCGGGATGGCCCATGAGATGTAATATGGAGAGCTCCGAGAAAGCAGCAACTTTCAATGCGGGACGAAACTTGGTGCAAGGGGGCGGGAGATGTACGGCTGGGGTTAGGGGCCGCTCCACGTAGCTTTATATTTGGTCTTGGCCGCGAGAATCTCAACAACCAATAAACAGTCGCCTTGTTGGCTAAGTGGTATAGCGTCTCACTAGTATTAGTGACATGAGAAGATCGGCGGTTCGATTCCGCCACGAGGCAATCACAGCTCGCGAAGCTTCGCTTTTGAACTTTTTGGCTCTTAAAGATGATTGTTATGTAGGTATTCAGCCCGAGATGCAAACTCCATATACAATGCCGTTGTCTACATGCGCTCCGTCCCTCCGTCAGCGTAACGAACCTCCATGCTCATTTCATGGCACCACAGCTCCCGCATCCACCCTCCCCTCCACATCCACCACCACAACCGCCTCCACACCCAGCATCCTCCTGGCAAGCAGCAGGGAGATACTCCTCGTCAAACGCCTCCCTCCAAAGCGCCCTCATATCCGTCGACAGCACCGCCAGACTCTCGTCGGGGATCTCGTCATCGTGGTCCACCAGCTTCCCCGTCATCCGCTTCGAGTAGGCCATGTACCGCGCCGGCGCGAGCTGGTGCGTGTGCCAGACGAGGTCAATGTCGAGCGTCGGCACCATGACGGTGCCCAGGTGCGCGGCGATGAGGTGGAAGAATTGCGCGTAGCGGGTTTGCGCCGCGGCCAGTAGGTCTGCGGGGCTTGAGCTGTGGAGCCAGGCGTGGGAGGACATTTTGAGGGAGAAGGAGAATTGGCGGTTGATTGCTGCAGTGAGAGGGTATGTGAAGAGGATTGTTCCTGTTTGAGAGGTGTGGGCGAAGGTGCCGGTCTGGGAGGCTGGTGGTGAGAGGAGGGAAGGGAGGTCGATTGAGGCGATGAGAGATTCGAGGTTTGACGATCTCGACTGTGAACGGTTAGCATACTTTGCCGATATAGTTGCACCTTTCTCTTCTACTAGGGGCATAAGAGTCCAGTGCGAGTATACAGTGGAACTTACAACTTCGGACCAGTTAATCCCATCCAGACCCAGACGGCCACCGAGGTCGATGAAGCGTGCGTAGGCCTTCGGGTGCAGCATCAGCGCGTGCCACGCCATGAGCACGTCAACAGGCGGCATCTGCTCCGCCGGCCTCTCGGCGCTAGTAGTCCATTGCTCGAAACGGGCGACGGCGCGGTCGCAGTACAGGTCCCATACGCGCTCGGGTACTTGGCCCGCGTCGGCAGCGAGCAGGTGGACTGCGTCGCGGAGTGTGACGAATGTCTCGAGGAGTTCGAGATGGGTGGCACAGTCTGCGGTTGAGGGGACGGAGTTGGATGTGGCGGTAAGCTGTGTTGTTGCGAGCTTTGATTGTTGCTGGTGCTCGACTGACGGGGCTCTAGAGTCATTGTAAGCATAGGTTATCCCTTCAATTCTACTGAGGGCGAACCAACAGGTTAGAGAGAATGGCCGGCATTTTGGCGATGATTTACAGGATCCGGTCCTTTATTGGTTTGGTGTTATTGAATATGAGGGTATCTTGAGTTCTGGGCGCTTTCTCAACTGACTCGGCAGCTCAACTTTGATAGAATGGACGCAAGAGACAAGTAGGATGAATACGAAGCTACAAGTCGACCTTCTTCAGCTCTTCAATCCAAAGGGGATTGTCACGCCTCTTATCAGGACAGCAGAAGCCCATTCGAATAAGCAGGGGTGAGCTTTATCTCGCTGCACCGTCGCACATGACAAGCAACAGCCCTGTGACCGCTGCCACCGAGTCCCAAAACGGCATGGAGGTGAGCAGGTTTCAGGACGCCAGCGCAAGACGGATCGCTGTGCCATCTTGTGCCATCTGACAACGGTAAGATGTGATTGGTGAAGAGGCCATAGGGTCCACGGATATGCGTAACGGGCGACTCAGGCGGCTGGGCCGGGAACGCGGGGTGGTCCACGGTTGGCGGTGGGGGGAAGCATTGAGAAGATGGGAAACTTGCGCATGTCCACCAGCGAGACGGGGTTGTTTCTCGTCTGTTGCGGTAAAGTCGGTGACCCGGCCCCGCTAACAGAATCCCACCGGAATACGGCGCTGGATGCGTTCCGACCTGTTGGAGCCTTGGAAAGAGACTGGACGAAGAGAAGAGACGCAGATACTTGGAGACTGTGGGATTCTTAGGCTCGGTCTGGGTTCTGTTAGCGGCGGTTTTAATCCAGGCGGGTGTGGGAGGCTGAGATTTCATTCTGGGAGTTGGGGAAGTGGCTGGATTTCACTTGTGATTCTTCAGCTTCACTCAACATACACGTACACTCACTCTCACTCATCTTACCTCCCGTCATGAGTGAGAGGCTGATGCAACCAAGTCATCTCAAGAGACTATCGAACACTACCATCACGCCTGCCTATTCCTTTCTCATAGCTCTTACACGAAACCAGTTTTATCCACGAGCCGCCCAGATCCCAATCAGGACAGGCACGACGCGTTGGTTTCACAAGCAAACACTCATCTTCAGCCTCCACTGACAAACTCACCCATGAGAGAGGAGGCCACAGCCTGGCTCGTACACACTCTCATTCAAACTCACGGAATACCCTCCTCCATCAATCACCTTCACTTGTCTCCATTGAAGTAGCTGTAGAAATCATCGCTGATAAGCTTCTCTAGCGTCGGTTTCTCCCAAATGAGCTAACTTACCTGCCGTGTGGAGGCCGTCAGCTCAAAACTATGTGCCTATAAGCAAGTAGGCTCTGGCTCCCTGCACCTTTTGTGCATATCTCACGGTCCAGAATCTCATTGGGGGCCAAGCTCACTCGTCCTACGCCGTAGGCAAATGAGGGCCGCGATCGCATCACCACCTTGATCCAACGACCAACGCCAGCCCAATGGTACAGAGCCCACGTTGCTGACAACAGTCTGATTCGATCGCCGGTCAGGCCGGCCGAGACTGGCATATTGAGGCTTGGAAACCATCGACTTTGTGCTGTTACCTCTGCCTCCGAGGGACCGTGTCTGTGTCCCCCTTCCCAACCCGTCCTGTTTGCTGTTTGTCCGACGAGGGTTCTAGATCTTATGGTTTGGGCCATGCTGTGTCTCTGTCAATCGTCTCTTTACGGGTCCCCAGTCCGAGGTGAACCCAACCCAATTCCTGCATGTCTTCACGTAGATCCAATCAATCTTCCCCGGTGGAGGATGAACGCCTCCTGCTTTCCCAATTCAGCATTTCATCTCGAAACCTGTTGGTACTAACAGGACATGGGGTGTGGTCTGCAATACTTCTCTTTGATTGCTGCTGTGCGGCGTAGAATGAAGCGAAGCCCAACACCCCCAGTTCCCCCGTTCTCTTTCTTCGCCGTGTTCCTGCAAATACCCGTCCATACCCCGTCGACCGGCTGGCCGCATTTCTGGCCTTCTTCGTCATATCGTTCTTCGCGTGCCTTTGAGACACTATCATTATGAAAGTCCCGTGGCTTGCGTTGCTTTTCGTAGCTGCTCTGGGGCCTGTCCTCGGTCAGCTGAATGTTAGACAGGTCGCGAGCAGCGCCAGCTCTTCCGAAAGTCTCCTTTCCTCTACTACATCATCCGTGTTCTCCGCTCCGACGTCCGTTCCGGCGCCGACTATCAACAGTAGCGTGTATGACCTTTCGCAGCATTTTTGCCGCATCTGGAGACATGCAAGTGAGTCTAGCCCCCTCTTACTCTACTATCTTATGGTCAAGTCTAACCTGACCGGCTGTAGGTGTCTTAGCCGATGGAAAAGTTTACGTCGATGGCGGCAACACGTACGTGCCGAAGAACAATAACACATTCTATAACACAGAAGCCGGCCAATATGACGCGGGAATGCGTGAGCATACTACCATCAGAGCCCTATGCCTTGCCGTCCTAACACACCCCAGATACTCAACTCCTCGTCCTAGACCTCTCACAAAACTTCACAAACCAGGAAACCAGCCCGTACTCATCCATATTCAAGAGCCCCGATGTCCCCAACGGCCTCATCGAACACGCGCTATGGTACTCCCAAACCACCCGCAAGATCTATCAGCTCGGAGGGTGGTTCTCCTTCAACAGCCCCAACAACCCATCCTTCATTGCCGACCCGAATATACCCGAGCCGGCCATCTGGGAATTTGACGTCGACGGCGGGCGATGGTCCAAGTCGATCAACTTTGATGTGGCAAATAATGGCGAGATTGTTGACAGGCCTGGCGCTGCTGCCTTTTGCGACGCGCCGACGTTGAATAGGAGTTACATCTTTGAGGGATACGTGCAGAGGAGATCTAGTCCTGCGAACGCTGCGTATACGGCTTCAGCTGACTTTCGGTGTAAGTTTTTTTTGATGTCCTACTTCCTCTATCTAAGCAGCGAGAAAGAATCGAGGCCTGACATCTTGCAGTCCTCGAAGGCATGCTCGAGCTTGATACCGCAGAGCGCTCTCAGCCGAAGCTCACCAACATTTCTGTCCCGACATACGTCGGCCCGCGCATGAACGGCGCAATGGTTCACGTGCCCGTTGGCGAAAAGGGGATCATTGTCAATATTGGCGGCCAGACCACGCGAGACCCAACGCCTTTCGGTATTCGCATCGAGGGTGCCAACGCAGGAAACGTCAATGCAAGTTCCCTTCAACCCCTAGGCAGCTCCCCTTAATTAACACGCCCCCAAAAGACAAACCTCTCCTTCGTAGACATCTATGACATCGAAACAGGCTTCTGGTTCCGCCAAGAAACCTTTGGCCTCCCCGACATACCAACAGGCCGCTCCGACATCTGCACCGTCCTCGTCCCCGCCGCCGACAAATCCTCCTGGAACATCTACATGATCGCCGGCGTCGAGAACTACGCGACCTACATCACCTCGGAAGAGATCTGGGTCCTCACCCTCCCAACTTTCACCTGGATCCTCGTCCACACCCGCGCCGACGGCATGTACGGCCACACCTGCCACGCCGTCGGCGAGAACCTGCTCATCGTGGGCGGCATGCAGACCAAGAACGACGGGGGGATGCAGAATGTGAATACCTGCGCCGAACACATGCCCGTTGAGATCTTTTCGCTCGCGAGCCAGAATTATACGGGCCGATATGATACCGAAGCTGCGAAGCGTCTTGCGCCCGTGCCGTCGCAGGTTGTCGCTGCCGTGGGTGGAACGTCGTCGGGTGGTGCGAGTCAGAAGGCACCGAGAGCGTGGAGTGATGTCTATTTGCAGTACATCTTTGATCCGTCACTGAGGAGACCGGCGTATACGCCAGAGTACACTCTCGTTGTAGAGCCCAGCAGCACGGTATCGCCGTCTTCATCTGCTTCATCGACTACCCAGCCGGATCCTGGTGGTCCATCAAAGGGTGCTATCGCAGGCGGCGTTGTAGGCGGTGTTGCTGCCATTGCGCTGGTGGGGCTCGGTGCGTTCCTGTTTCTCCGGCGGAAGAAAAAAAGGAGGGCGCATGAGGCGGCTGGCACAGAGGTGTCGCGACAGAGTGCCATGTCGGAGCTGCCTGGCTATACCCCCTACTCTTCTCCCGAACCGAAGCCTGGCTTCCTCGACTCGCCGACGTCGCCTGGTCACCAACGCGACGTACATGCCCATGCTGCGGAGCTCGAGGTTCCAGCTAGTGCGAGCGAGATGCCGAGTAGTCCGCGGTATGGCGGCTCGTCGGTCGAGATGGGAAGCGATGCCACGGCTAGCCCAAGAGTTGGCGATATTAGCCCGCGGGTTGGTGAAGTGAGCCCGAGGGTCGGCGATGTCAGCCCGAGGGTTCCTGGTGATGTTAGCCCCACGCTTGGGGATGAGGGATTAGGGTATCATGCTGGGCGGTAGGCGGGACATCACCCTGGAAGGTAATGTTTGCTTCGGTAGTGGTCTAGTACTTGGTGCATGATGAAAGTTCGTAGGTTATGGTGGATCTTCTCAAAATGGAGGGCTTCGAAAGTCAGGTTGCCATTCAGGAACTAATCAATTCTTCTAAGAAAAGACGTAAATGATATTCCACTAAGCACAGCGATGTCTGTCACTCCTGAAAACCATTTGCAATTCCAAGCTTTAGAAAGAAACTTTGTTCGACCACTCGAAATTGCGAGTTCTTATTAAACTCTCGAAGTATACTTGAGCGGCAAATCCTCTTACTTTTCCTCGCTAAGATTCTATCTACCACTAAGGCGTTCATACTCATTCCCGTTCACCGACTATTCCCGATGATGTCCCGAAGAAACTTGACTTGATTGCCCAAACTAGATTACTACTTCGCTTCTAAGCTACTACTTTTGATAGAGAACTTCAAATAGAATCGGAACCGGTCTCAGAACTAACATCTTCGAATCCGCTGTCAGAGACAGAGAGGTAGCCGTCCTTAACGGCGTCATCCATATTCAAGTCTTCCAGATCGACAGCGACATCCTCGGGCTCCTGAACCGGCTGGCAGGGCTCTTGGGTACTGCCGAGAATGCCCTGGTTCTGCTCCTTGAGACAACTGTTCTCCTCTCGTAAGGCCTCGATCGTCTCCCCCAGCTCGTCGATATGGACCTGTAGCTGGATTATCTGCGTCTGGTCGACATCTTTCAGCTCCTCAAGGCGGTTGATAATAATTTCAGCTCGGTCCAGAGCGTCCTTGAGCTGGCAGATCTCAGTTTGGTCAAGGTCCGCCATAGCGTGATCGACTTCCAGAATGGTCAGGGAAGCAGCCATGGTGTGTGTTGGAAGGGTTTTGGGGTAGTGTGGTATATAGATGGTAGCTTGGAATGGTTGATTTGTGGTATTTGTAGGCTTTTGAGGGTGTGTGATGCTCCTTTGTGTTTTGGTAATGCCGAGAAAGGGGCTCAAGTTGGTGTCTGCTTTTTGTCAGCCAAGGTGTAATCTAGGATTCTGTGATGAAATATAGAAGTCTGAGGAAGAGAGTTGAAGAAAGAAGCTGTCTCCTTTTATAAGATTCCAACAGAAGGACCGGGTAGACGGGCATGTGCCGGCAGGGAAACATGAAGCAGGCTATTCACATCACTACTTGTCGATTTTGTAAGTGAATACGAGCTGAAGCTCAGCATTTCCGAAGATGTCGTTGAGATCGAAGGTCGTAAAATTGAGTGACACTCATTTATGCACTCATAAACAGGCACAAAGGGACTAGAGAGTGCAAAATACTTGCACAAATATGAGTGAAGCACTCATAAACAACCAGAAAAGGGTTTGAGGATGCAAGATAGAGGACTAAGCAAGTGATGAAGAGCTTATGGATCTGACCATACGGGCATGGCTTTGAGGTCGCACAACTCATGACTAATTGTGTGTGACGCGCTCACAACAACCAGAATGAGACCGGAGGTCGCAACATGAGCGTCAGGGTGTGGATGATTGAGTTCGGAGGGCATCGACACGCGCATTCACTTGCAGGTGATAGGGGCAATAGGTCGCTGCCGTGAACTTAGAGTTGAAGATCCAAGGGGGAGTCATGGGAAGTAAGTATATACATGGGCAGTGATGGAGTGCATGGAGTTGGGGAAGAGGTGTAAGTAAGGGGAAATGGGAGCTGACTAACCTACAACTCCAACAGTGTCGTATTGTCCACTGGCTTAGTGACGTTCGGCCGATAGGAACTGGAGGACTTAGACAAAGGTCGTATAGCGTATAGCGGGGGGGAAGCGAATGTTATTGGTAGTGGTAGATGTGTAGCTAGCTTCGAGCCGTTAACAAAATGGAGCCTCCCACAGATCTTGTGTGTGGATGATGGAGGGGCGGGTCTTAAATCCGACACGGGGGAAAGGGGGGATGCTTTCACGGGGTGATGTTGTGATCTTGAGATAACTAGTGATATTGATGGGTCAAAGAATGATTGCAATAATCTCCTTTTTTTTTTGGAGGGAAAAGGCCACTAATCGACAAACAGGAGAGAAAAGGTCAAATACAAAGGGTGTTATTTGTGGTTGTATTGGCTGACTGGGCTTCCGTTGGAAGATCTTGCACTGCATTTGTTCTGGGTGAAGTTCGATTAAGAAGTTGGAGCAAACGCGGATTATTTATATTCAAGACGCGTGGTGCCTACTCCAACACTTTAGAAATGAAGCCGGAATTCTGTGTCTCGTCCACGGTACTGTCAACAGTCTTCGGTGTTGATGGCTTCAAATCAGTTTCCGAGAATTTGGATCCTGCTTTCGTGCCACACCTCAATCGTAAGTGGGTGTCCTCGAAGGACATGGGTTCGGCGCTTATGGTCTTGCTAAGCGCCTTGGGGGTCCGACAAACCAATGGCATTCAAATTGGCCAAGACATTGTGAGCGGGAGGGCACTAGACACTCCAAAGAAGACTCTCGCTCCCTCCGCGTGCAGAGGCTTGAAGAGTTTAACAGACTCCTTTGTAGGCACTGAGATAGATGCATAAATCATTCAACTCGGTGTACTCGAGAGGCTCATCAAAACTTCTCGATGATGGAGAGAGTTGAACATCAAGGATAGGCAACCAAATCTCACTTTTGAGAAGGCTCAGATTTGGGAGTGCAGAATGGGATGCTAAAATTACACACCAATCAAGTCTTCAACCCCTCAAACGATGGTTGGCCTCCGACATGACCGATCACCCTCACGTGTTTTTGCGTTGGGAGCATGTTTGGGGATTGAGGCTATTCCTTCCAGGCACCAATTTTACAAAGAAACTAAGACCCTCGGTCGCAATATCTGTTTACTGGAGATCTTGTCCTTGAATCACCACTGCCAACAACCGAAAGACATCAAGAGCGCGATGCAGGCCCCCAGAAACGGAAAGGCTTATGCTGAGGTGGCAGCTGTTGGCCTGCTGAGGTCGAAAATGCTTCCGCCCGGTGTCAGCAACCAACAGCTACTTCGCGGGGTCGGCGGAGAAGACACAGAGCCACCACCACCGGAAAACAGCGAAGATGAGTCCGACGAGCCATCAAGACTGAGAAAGGTGCGTTGAAGCATGCATCTAAGTAGGGTATACATGCCGCTGACATATCTGGAACCTTCGAGGCCGCCGACTGGGTTCGTGAAAACCCCGGGACGACTGTATGTTATGGCGTGAGTGCAGGCAGTCTCGTCGTTTTGGCCGCACCAGCTCTAGTCGCTGCACCAGCCCTGGGACTTGCGGGTTTTGGCTCGCAGGGAATAGTCGCCGGTAAGTGAAATCCTCAAACTCGAGGCATAGTCAATCTTTGCAGTTGAAAGTTTTGATTACTGACTCTTTCGGGTCGACAGGCTCTACGGCAGCGGGCATCCAAGCCGGAATCGGGAACGTGGTGGCGCCGAGCCTCTTTGCTACCCTCCAAAGCGCCGGTGCGGCTGGCTACGGTGCCGCGGTCGTCAACGGAGCTATACAGGCGGGCGCCGGGGTTTCTGCTACTGCGTTTGCGTGGTGGGGGGCAAAGAAGAAAGATTGTGGAGAGAATGGCAAGGAGGAAGAGGTAGGCGGGGATAAGAAGCCAAGTGCCTAGCAGGACTAGAAGCAGGCAGCGAGTAAGACTTCTATCTAGGCTTAGATTGATGGACGAATGAATCGATGCCACTCTCATGATGAACAGAATGCCACATACTGCTGGGAATCAATCATCGCGAACCTTTGATGTTGTACACGCAGAGGCTCCATCAGGAAAACTGATCTGCGTGATGCCATGACTTTCCACAGTCTTCTCGTGCATCTCAAAGGCAGACGCGATCATCATGTTGATTGTAAGTGGAGAGTTTTGTCAAGACAAAAGCTGATCTGAAGACTGTACCATTTTTGTTTCTAACCAATCTGGACATACTGGACCTTGGGGTTGAGATCGGCCATTCCCTGACAGTCCGACACAGGTGATTTTTGGATTGATTGGAACCGGCCGTAGACTAATTCTCCTTTGCACAGCACTGACAATCCACAGTTACGGTATCACAAGTGTCAAGCTCCGCAATGAGGCCTGCTAAGCTTTCAGAGCCGCCCGCCAAAACCTGGAGAACGCGTCGTCTATGGGCCTCAAGCGGTGTCACATAGGGTTTCCTCTGCCCAAAAAACAGAGTCAAAAAGCACCCAGGGCTCTTTTAGTACGAGCGGGCAATTGTTTTTGCGTTGGCGTCTCGAATCCTTTGGTTCGTCCGATGCGTCGCAGATCTACAGGCTGTCTGCATCTGCTGTAGTGAGCGTGACTGGCCTTGAGACGAAGCTTGACTCAATTCATAGCCTTTGTGCTCCCCTTCTGTTGTCCCTCGAGTTCTCGAAGGGCCGGTTGGAGAACAACCAGGAACCCTCGAATCGGAGACTCCGTCTAGGTCTGCAATTCGGGTCAAAGGGTCTCATTCTCGTCATTGCGAAATCTCCAGAGGCAGACAGTAGATGACTGAGTGCGAAAAGGTCGTTTCTGGGAGGCAGTCATCCAGGTACGACTGCGTAGGCAAACTTCGTGCGATGAACTTGACCCTCAAGCTCCCAGCCATGTCACCAAGGTTCGCGAAATTGCCACAAGGCAAATAATAAAAAGCTGCTCAGATCAAGGGCTCTCTCAATATACTCCTCCCAGAACTTTGAAAGCGCGCCCGAAGCACTCGATCGCGAAAAACCACTTCAGCTTCACAGCCTCAGCCAACACCTAAAATCAGATTCTCATCCTCCTCTTCCAAGGAATCATGCGTCTCTTCAAGACTGGCCTATCCGTCCTGACCGTGTGTTCAGTCATCCAGGCCATCCCTGTCAATACTGGCGAAAGAGGCGATACGGCCTTACACCGCCACGATGGTCTCAAAACTTCAGACACACGACAGGAAAACAGAAGTAAGGGCGGTTTCGTGCCTCCTCATGTTCTCAGGAATATCACCCGTAGTCCTTTCGCCACAGACGAAGAGCGACGCACTGCAAATCGGACCTTAGTGATTGATGGAGAGCGGTATGGACCGCAACAGCCGACGGATTAATTGTTAGCTTTTGGGACTCAACTAGAGGGGCGAAAGGACAGTCACAGACTTGTAGCGTGTTCTTACTTGGCGAACTTCGGTAAAGAGCTTTATCAGTCCGCGGTCTTGCTGCCCAGGTTGCTGACAACATGACAAAAAGAAAGGGTCGCGTTTCAAGTATTCAGCTCGGACGCAGGGACGGCAGACTGCCATCCGGAGACTCAGCCAACTCGGCCTTTGCGAGCCCCGCAAGCCCGGCGGAATACGGCCGAGTGTGGAACTGGTGATGGTCTTGGTGAAACATCTTGTCCTATGCGCCGTCTGTGGAGGAAGATAGCAGGCAATCCATCGAACCAAAGGCCCACGATCCCGAGGCCAGCTTCTCGCCCAGTCGCCCTGCGTTTGGCGGCCTTTCTTTTCTTCGCAACCACGAGACAGACGTGGCTCGGAACAACCGGCAGTCTTCGCTGCATATCGACACCTTACTTCAGTGGATGGTTTATGGCACCTTATCATTGATTGTCTCAACGCATGTCATCTAATCGCTGGGCGGAAAGGAAATATGGCTAGATCTTCAATACCTCGGGCGGGAAATAGCTCAGGAAACCTTACTCAAGACTGGATTTCTCGCTACTTTATCGAAATGAAGCTATTCCCATCGATTCCCTCGCATTGGCCACTGACAGGCCACGTGTTGTAGATCAGCAAACCTTCGAGGTATCCGAACTTTGGAAAGTTTGCAGGCCCTGCTGGACCGTGCTTCACGACTATTTGACATGCTGACTCACCATCCGAGCACAAAAGAGGGACGGCCTCGGTAGCTTCGGGGGAACCAAGGGAATTCCTTCGGGATCACCTCCGGCAACGGGAGTCTTCCGGGTCCGGATGGCCGCGACGCCAACTGCCGACGATGTACTGGTTTTCCTTGGTTTTGCTCGGGCCCAGAGGGATAATGCGGGCCCGCTTCTGGGGTTCTTCCAAGGAAATGTTACGGATCCGGAGCGTAGCATCACCTGTCGGATCCTAGACGAGACGGGGGCGGATGCTCGAAAAGACCACTCCGACTGACTCCCTGAGGTCACACTGTTCGGATGCGAAGGGAAAGCTTGCGCATCCATATACAGCAAACGGAACGGAGTACAATACACTTCGAGAGGAAGAGAGTTTGTGTGGTATTCGTTGACAGCGGCTATGCAAAGACACGCGTTGTATGACGTCCAGCCAGGCCCAGGCAAACGAGTTTCTCCATGAAAATAGCCCACGGGGACTTGGGGACAGTTTGATGTCGATGGGCAACGGTGGCTGGACAATCCGATGTGCAACGCTCATTGCACAGCACCAGCACACTTTAATTGGGGCTCTTTTTTCAGGTAAAGTTGAGGGTTGATCCAACATGGGGCGACAACTCAGGGGCTCGCAAAGGTTGTCTTGGGTAGATGACATAACCGCGCAGGGATATCCCAGCATCACCGCCCACGTCCAGCAAAGTCGTATTTAGGAACTCCCAGAGGGCGCTTCGCCCTTTTCGTACACGTTGCTCAACGCCCATTTACTACTATCTTATCTTTGGTCGGTCGGTCGTTCTCACCTACGTGTGTTCACGGTTGTATTTCTCTCTTCTCCTGTCCGCTGAGCCTCACTTTTCAGATGCCGGCCGTCGCAGCTCCAACAGCGCCTTTCATTTCATTCCCTCGTTCATTTTGAAAGAAACGATACACATTTCCAGTAGACCACACGCATGTTTGCTCGCAACACCCGAGCGAGAGGAAAAGGCACCATGTGGGAAGAATCCACGCGGGGCCGGGAGGGGCAGCAGTTTAAAGAGCAGAGCCCATACAGCGACCACGACGCTGTAGGTGAAAAGGCATCGGCCACCGCAGCATCAGCGACAAGAAACAGCGCAGACAAGATCAGATGCCTCGATGGGCTCCGCGGAATCGCCTGTTTACTCGTCTTCAACTACCACTTCCTATGGCCCTGGACGCCGGCCATCATGCTGGGCTATGGAGCCATGCCCCCCGGATCGCCCGAGCCGTACTTTGAACGGTCATCCCTGCCCATCCTGTGCCTCTTACAACGAGGACGACCTATGGTGGCCATCTTCTTCGCCATCTCGGGATACGTCCTCTGCAGGCATATTCTGAGAGCGATTCACGAGCGGCGCTTCGAGGCCGCTTACCAGAGCCTCGCGTCGTCCGTCTTTAGGCGCGTATTCCGCCTCTACATTCCCCCAACCATTAGCATGTTCCTCGTTGCGCTACTTGCTCAGATGGGCGCCTTCAAGTCCGAGTTTGAGATTTACAAAGGGCCCGACTCGAGGTACATCAACGGTACTGTGACTGTCGCCACATTGAACAACACTTGTGTGAATAGCACGTACTCTGTCGAAGGAGCCGCGGGGATCGCCAAGTTTCTCGGCTTACGAACCCCGGCTTTCCTGGGAAATGTCACGACTAACGACACAAACACGCTGTGCCTGAATGCTACGTCCCAACTCTTCATGCCTCCAATGCTGTATGCATTGGCAGATGACATTGAGGCCGCTTCCAGGGTGGTGAATGAGACGAGCAGCCTGAACGGCACTGCAATCCACATCACGATGCAGGACGTTGGGGACAAGGAGACACCTGAGAAACACAGGTCCTACCACGACCTTCTCCACCTGCACTCCAGACCAGCACTTCTCGATGACGAGAAAGACTCGGCCAACGTCACCAACCCGGTAAACTTCACTTGGGTCCAGCTAGGTGGCTCATGGGAGGAGCATCCCTTCATCCACGACAATATCACCTATGCTCTGAAGAACTTCACGAGAGCCTACGTCGAGTGGGCCAACCCTTTCAACTTTGGCCACTACCACACGCGCTACGACCCGCACACCTTTACCATCCCGATGGAGCTCCGCGGCTCAATGTTCATCTACCTCTTCCTACTCGGCACGGCAGCTATCCAAGCAAAATGGCGCCTTCGAATCGGTGCCCTCCTCTCCGCCTACAGCCTAATCCTAGGCCGATGGGATATGGCCACCTTCATGGGCGGCGTCCTCCTCTCAGAAGCGGACATCAGACGGGCTGACCGCGGACTGATCCCCCCGGCGACGAACGGCAGGAAAGGCCAGCAGGCAACTATCGGACAAAAGTTCCTTGGATCAAGAACAGCTCGATGGGGGGCGCTTTTCGTGGCACTCTACCTGCTCTCGTACCCCGACGCCGGAGCCGAATGGACGCCCGGGTTCACTCTCCTCTCCTCGCTCGTACCGCGGTACTACATTCCCCTCTCCGGCTGGATGTTCTACCAGGCCATGGGTGCTATGCTCCTCCTGCCCTGCGTCCTTCATAGCCCCTTCCTCCGCGGCGCGCTCGAGGGACGGGTGGCGCAGTACCTGGGCAAGATCAGCTTCTCGTTCTATCTCGTCCATGGGCCGGTGCTGCATAGTCTAGGATTCTGGATCATGCCTAGGCTCTTTGAGCGTTTCGGCCGCAACCTAGGTTTTGTTGTCGGCTGGGTTATTTTGCTGAGCGTGTCGCTGTATTTGTCAGACTGGTGGTGCAAGAAGATCGATACTTGGAGTGCGAGTGTTGGACGCCGGGTAGAGAAGGCATTGAAAGACTGAGCTGGAGCTCCGGATTTTTGTAAAAATTGCTTTCGTAGTTATTCCCTATGGAGTAATCAAAAGGTCATGATACCCTCATCTTGATTATTCCTGGTTACGCACCTTGATGGCCCTCATCCGATCCCTTTTAGGCACCAAAGAGTGACCACTTTCCAATAAGCATCGTCCGTCGTAGTCGATGACCGAGCGGTACGATTCGTATGTTGGCTCACGGTCCTACATAATGCCATGGATAGCTTGTTTTTTGCCAAGGTCGCGGGTCGAGTCGTCTTTAGTCGTCTTCTTTTTCCTCACCTTCTACGCGTGCATGCAGTAGTGAGAGGACGGCTCATGAGGCCTCCGCGCAAATCTTCATGCCTCACCGATGAACACTCTTCCTGTACGTGGTATGTCACATGAACAGATGGCAGGATGTCATTCATGATCCATTATGATTGTCTAGCTGTATGATATAGGCTTATTGCTACTAAATATCTGTAAGGCGACGAAGCCTTATAGTAGGGCAATACAGCTGATAGGCTTCCCATAATATGACCGGGTATCGATAATCAGTGATGACGCTGAACAATCATCTTGTTCCTCATGCTTCTCCTGCGTCGAGTAGGATGCGCAGGCTGCTTCCAGATAGGTTGATCAGGATCATAACCAACAAGGCAGTTGACCGTCTCCGCGCCCTCGCCAGCATCGTTAATCTCGCTGCCGACAGGATTCTTCCATTGCCCAGTGAGCTTGATATATCCATCAAGAGCATCAGTCATTGTCTTGCCCAGCTCGAGCGCCTTGGCAGCTCTGCTGTGCGAGTAGTACGTGAGCAGCGAATGCGCCGCCTCACGCTCGTTGTTCTCGATGAGAACTCTAGCGCTTGTCTCGACCCAGTCCACGTCGCTGCGGCTCTGGTTCTCGAAGCCCGTGAGCATCTGTGTGACGATGGGCAGATAGATGTCTGGGGATGAGCACATGTAATACAGCACGCGCTTGAAGATGCGACCGGCAAAGACGCTCGCCTCCTGCAGCTGGAAATCCGGGTTCAGGAAGCTGCCCGAGGCGCCGGTGGTGAGATAGCGGTGCTCACCGAATTCGGGGGGCACGCTGTTGACACCGAGCCACCACGGCACGAATGGCGATGAGACGGAGGTCGCAGGAGCATTCCAAATGCGCAGCAGGTCCGCATCGATACCAGCTTTCAAGCTGACGATTTGCCCGTAGCCTGCCTCGTCATCGGCGATGCGCTTGTCGCGGACGCGCTCCATCAGCTTCTCCTCGGTGAGAGGAACCATCTCAAGAGTGGCGTTCTCGAGCGCGGCTTGGGACATGAACTTGAAGCCGCCGTCACGGGCAGTCATATTCTCGCCCTTTTCGCCGTACGCGTTGAAGATGTTGAAAGGCACGCCCCCGTTGGGATCCCACC